AAATGTCAAAAATGACCTCAGCAAAGCTACATGAACAATCAAAAACAAAGCTATAAATGGAAATCAAATAGTCCTGCAGGCTGACAAAGCAGGCACCAAAGTTGTGATGAACAGGAAGAAATATGCAGAGAAATATTCACGGGGACAATACAACGTATCGACTACTAACAAAATAACCATCAGTTAAAATCAGGAAATGAATATGAACGGGGAAATGGGCAAATTGACAATGAGCTCACTCATACGAAACGATGCAAGAGCCTCAGTAGCATGCGGTTTGCCGAATGTACACAAAGAAGGAGAACCATTGAGACTGATAATCAACAGCAGACATGGACCGACATATTAATTTGTTAAATGTGTCTGCCTCAAATGAAAGAAAGTGAATGACAGATTATCGAGTACAGTGAAGGACTCATACGAAATTTGGTAAAAAATCAAAGGCGCAAGGTTGAAAGAAAACGAACTTTTGATGAGCTTTCATGTAAAGACCATGTTCACTAACATCACAGGAGGAAAAGCACTCATCGGACTACTGGAGACGTTGGAAAAAGAAAATTACATTCTAGAGACAGTGCGAATCCGTAACGAATCTCTAACCAGATTAATCAACCCAATAATAAGAACGACCTATTCCACGTTCAACGGCCGCATAAATGAGCAAATATTTGGTCTCCCAATGAAATCATGACTCTCACTTCTGTTGGCTAATGTCTTCATGCACAAGTTGGAGGAGAAATGCAAAATGTCACCCAAGCAGCAGGCATTAATTATGCGATCTTTGCATGACTATTTCGCAATTGATCGCAAGGAAGATAAAAATTAGACGATTTCCTGATCTTCATAAGCGAAGTGGATAAAAAATTCAAATTTAGCATGGATATGAAAGAGAACGGACACATATCGTTTTCGGATGTGAAGGTCATTCCGAAAGAAATCGCATGCTGGAATAAGTCTTAACTTCCAGTCGAAGCATACTTATGGGATGAAGATTGGAATAGTCCTGAGTATGGTGACAAAAAGCTCACGATTCACTGATTATGAGTTCTACGAAAAAGAACTGGGAAGACTAACTCAGATGTTTGTTGGAAGCAGCTATCCAGAAAAAGCAACACAATTCAGCATAGAGATGGTGATGAACAGAAGGAAGGACTGAGCTTATGAAAGGAAAGCAAGAGGAGCAGAGGAAAAACAATGGATATGTCAACGCTCCTGCGAATTGGCTCGGAGACTACGGCCAATACAAGGGAAATGAGATGTATTCATCCTATTTCGTGTAAGGTGATGATGGACTGGTAGTAGAATTTTCCCACAATGATATGAGTTGAGTTGACGTCTCCATTGAATTTCACATAGCCTCGCTTCCCAAAGGTTGTTCTCATCCAGGCCCCAGTGGACTGCAGTTTCGACCTCGCATTGGTCTTATCAACAGCCTCAGCCCACCGAACGCGGACGTCTAGTGGACTACGTCAACCGGTACCTCATAGTAAAATCAAACAACCACAGAACAACGTGAATTATTAGTCATTTTCAGGTGAAAACGTCCTACGAATCCTTCATCTAGTACTTTCATACCAAACTAAAGTCACTACAATATTAAAACAGTTGACCCAAATTTTTAGACTAGGAATGACTTTCTTGTGGAAACTTTGGCTACGTACCGGAGATGTATTATTAAATAATTTGCTGTTCTCTATTTTCTAATTATGAACCCATATTTTTATGGAAATTTTGATAAGCATATCTTTATATAGTACCTCGTCAAATAGGACAATGCAATATTTAAACTTATAGTCCTTGTAGTAGGGAGAAATTTGGACATTCCACTTAAAAGTTCGACCTTTCTTTAATAAACAATAATAATAATACGATATAAAAAGTTGTTAAACAAATACCATTATTTAATTGATAAAATTTTGGTCTTAAAATTTTCTTGGGGACTATCAAACCATTTGAATGTCCGCAAAATTTTGAGGAATCTGAATCTTCAAGAAGTGAATCACGAGATAAATGTTTCGAACTAATCTCTACATTCACATAAACACTGTTAGTATGACTCGATGTTTCCTGCAAACCCATCTTTTGTATTTTAATATGCCTGTTACTGCCGCCATTGAAAGGAGACAATCGAGACTCGGCTTAAGATGGAGCAACAACAACCAGGCTGTCTGGACAGTGAAAGGGTAAAAATTACGAAAAATAAAGGAAACTAGGAATTATGACAGCTTTTTTGGATCTTCCGTTAAAATTTGATCAAAGAACCTCAGCAAGAGGCAAAATGGTTCACAAAAATTAAGGGCTATAGATAAATGTGACTGATAGACGTTAGCAATTGCCTATGTTGCAATGAGGAGTGAATAACAATTGTGAGAAAAGGATGAGGAAAGCAAAATGTAGTGACTCGACAATGAAACTATTTTGAATGGGTCACCTTTAGTTGGATTATAGACATTCAATGTAAACGTTTAATTACGCCATGTGGTGCCCCCTCTCCAAATGTAAAAACATGAATGACTATTTTTCGAGATTCGACTGCAATGCCGATGTCGAATAGGTTAAGCAGTTATTTAAAGGGAACCAAACCCAGGACGATCAGATTAGACGGCAAAGGCGTTACAACAATGTAGCCATAGCTGCAAGGAAAAGAGATATAACCATCACACTGATGAATTTCAGTGAAGTCTCAAAGGTAAAATAATAGTACTTAGCGTAAATGTGAATTCTTTTTCCAAGATTTGTCAGCAGCGTCATTTTTAGCAGGGAACTACAACAAAGTTCAAGTTTATTTACTAATTGTGTTTAAGAATCGTTATGATGCGTCTAGCATCTCGTGGTGAGGTAACCTCATCTCGTATAATGTCATGTGGCAGATTCCTAAAATACTTGTAATACTCACCTGTTCAAATAAACTCGAGGCATGCCTTCATGTAAATGGGTTTACCGCAAAAAAGTCAGTATAGCCACCTATTTACGGATCCCTCAGTTGGGTATTCTGATCTGAAACAATGTATCCATCCATTCTAACGTTTTACCGAAATTCTATTAACTGGTACCTGATAATCTCCACCAAACAATAAGTGCCTCGGCCAACTAAAGAAGTGATTAGGTGGCGAAGTATTGGAGTGAATTGGCTGCCTGTAAATCAACTTACTTTGATCATGAATCATTTGGGAATTAAAAAGTGAGGCAAATACAATTCAAAACGAAGATCAACTATGAATGAGAAAAAGATGTGAAATTATGTCGAGAACGTCAAACAGCAACATCACGATCCAAAACAATAATGGACGCCATAGGATAGCAAGGGAAAGAGATTTAGGCCATTTTTAATTCATAGTTTAATGAGACTAGTGAGCTTTCGCCGTTGGTCCACATGGCGGTAAAATATTCTGCATAACATAAACTCCAAAGATAGCGGCAGATAAAATTCGTATAAATGATCTATTAATAATTTCTAAAAATTATCACTAAATAGAGAATAGTGCCAATGAACCTAAAGACAAAAATACAAGCCTGCTTTATCAGCAACAATCAAAGAAAAAAAGTGAAGGGGAAGAGGACTGAATTTCCACAAAAGTCACATAATTCGCGACAACCTTATATCTGGGCTGTGTGTTTAAGGTAACGTTGCTGCCTGATGTGTATAAATCTGCTTATAATTCCCTTTTGGGGTGCTGACAAGATGATAAGGCCAGGTCGGAACTGCAACCCACTGTGAATAAGAAAACATTTAGTGAGGCCATCTACTCATTCTACAAAAGCATGGCGGATTTAGCTCATTTGACTAGACAAGTTCCTATAGACTGGTTTTGAGATGCATCCAAGTAGGAGCTGTGTATAAAAATAGTTCCCTTTGAGATATGGAAGACGATTTTTTCTTACACATCATCCAATCCAAAAGGTAATGAGCTTTGGGAGAATAAAGAAAAGGCCTATAAGATGTTCTATCCTAAAAGAAGTGCTTACTTGAGTTGATGCAAGAAACCGGCTTGTTCTTGACAGAGCCACAAGAAGGAGGCTTCTTAGAAGTGAATCGAGACAAATGTTTGAGACTGGAGATAAATTGGTTGAAACGCAAAAACTGGCCCGCTGGAAGAAAACACTGGCTGGCTCGTGAGTTGGTGCGAGAAGTAGAATAATCTAGAGTTAAAAAAATAAAAAGTATAAGATAAGCATCTATGAAGAGGTTAAATATTAAATCAGTTGTAGGAAGAGTGAATGAGATTTAATAGATAGAAAGAAATTTTAAGCTCCCGTTTCCCGGCTTTTTTATTCACTTCAATTTAAATATAAGAACAGGGGCTCTTATGACTTGGTAAGTTTTCTCCTCAAAAAAATAAACCAACAGCCAAATTACAAACCGAACGATGACATTGAAAATTAAAGTAATACAAGTAATCGCAACTTATTCATAGACAGCGGAGACCTTGTGGAATGTACCTGGTCCTGCCTCCACTACCGGGGCCTTCATAATAATTTTCAGCATCCGACCTGAATATGGTGCACTCCCAGACGTTTCGTCGGCATTGTCGGTGAGAGACAGTAAGCTTAGCACAGAGGTACAACTGTTCCAAGCGAAGAAAAGTTGGGTTTCGGGGAATCTCTTGTTTTATAATTGTTAAGCTTACTTCAATTTCGAGTGAAAGTGTTAAGTGAAGAGATTCGAAGGTCGGTTCCACCACAAGACGATGGCGGATTCCTCTTGACCAACTGTCGATTAGCTTTACTGGAAGATTCATGCTGACGCTATTTCCAAGGTAATCTCCTTCGATTCTGATGAAAAGATGTTAAGCTTTCGTATGACATATGACGAATATCATCAGAGCAAGGTATCATCGTACCACTAAATTTAAGTTAACGAGTCAAGAAAACTTGGTTGAATTTGGTTGTGACGCTGATGCCTTGTTTTGATGATGTACGTAATATGACGGACTAAACTTAGCTGCTTTTTAACCGGAATCGAATCCAGTAAAGTCAATCGACAGCTGATCAAGAGGA